TGGTGCATGTCAGAGGTCTGCATGTTGAATGACGCATAGAGTTCACCTTAAGGAATATGCTCATGTTCTCATTTATTCGAATCATCACAGAGGATGAAATCGAGGATATGAAATTACAGCATGATGTAACTGCATACACGTAACTAACTCTCTATTTTGTCATTCTTAATTACCAGTAGAAAAGTTTTCTTTTCATGTAAAGAAGCATTGCTCATTGAGTACTTGCCAACACAAAGTACTTAATATACTTGACATTAAATCTTCAAGGAAAAATTAAACTATAGAAGACATATCACTCCAGTGTCTCAGATGAGGCACCTAAGCCCCAAAGAGCTCACGCGACTTCTCAAGGCAATGTGGTCGAAATCAGGAGAGTTAAGACAGGAACTGAAGCCGGGCGGTGGTGGCGCACGCCTTTAATCCCAGCACTCGGGAGGCAGAGCCAGGCAGATCTCTGTGAGTTCGAGGCCAGCCTGGACTACCAAGTGAGTTCCAGGAAAGGCGCAAAGCTACACAGAGAAACCCTGTCTCGAAAAACCAAAAAAAAAAAAAAAAAAAAAAAAGACAGGAACTGAGATCCATCTACTTCTAATACTGCTGCCTTCTAAGCACCACCACATTATGTCAAATCAGTGTTCATTAAAAGCATAAAGGATCCACTGGAGAAGTAAGAATGTGGGTTTCCTAAGAAAAGCTAAAAGTCTTTTTTCACTTTATTTAAAAATAAAAATGAGTCAGGTCAGAAAAGAAAGAGGGGGGGCACCGTATCAAAACACTTTTCCAAATTACTGACACCCTACCCCTTTATAAGATCTGATGTGTCATTAAATAAGACGAAAGAAAGAATCTATTCCCAAAGATAAGCACAGAACTGAATGATCTTAGGTTACCCTTCTTGAATCACCAGGTGCAGATTCCACCTCTCACAAAAGATGAAGAGGTGGGTGGATGAGAGAACAACCAACTCCCTACTCACAGTGACTTATGTGATGATAGGCATACAGTAAAGCACTTGCTTTTCCTCGAGGAGAGGAAGCCTTCAGCCCAGAAGATGCTTTCCTATCACCACCAGACACCAACTCAAAATGGGATTATGAATTATACAGAGTCCAAAGGCTTGAGTATTCTGTCTACCTAAAATCTCCTAAGGCAAGCTGTTTTGGGGGTGTCAGAATAGGTGACTACAGACACTCCATTCCTGCTCTGTGCATTCATGAACGAATTTCTCTTGGCAACCTTTGCTCTTTTGAAGCCTTAGTTTCCTCATCTATGTAAGAACTTCTACTCAAGATGATTAGGTGGGATGGTGAATGTAAGGCACCTGCCATGCTCCAGTGGGGACTCAATTTATTCAGTAAGGTTGGGTATAAATGTTAACTCTAGCAACCATTAAAGGCAAAGATGTGGTGATATATTGTGTACCCTAATAATGCTTGCCTTGAGGATCAGAGGACAGAGCCAGCCACTAAATTAAACATAGAGGTCAGGCAGTGGTGACACATGCCTTTAATCCCAGGAAGTAATATGGCAGGACACAGAAAGGTATATAAGGTGAGGAAACAGGAACACCCTCTGTTGAGGCTGAGGATTTCATAGAGGTAAGCTAGTGGCTGGCTGTTCTGCTTCTCTGATCCTCAAGGCAAGCTTTATTAGAATACACAATATATCACCACACAAAGCGATACAGGAAGGCTGATCAGGCCATCATATTCTCTGATGAGTACAACATCAAAGTTCTCATGGTGGAAAATCTAAGTAAAAAGTTCTGTTAACAAATCACTTAACACTATTGCCAGTGAGAAAGAGCCTGGGTGATGAATTGAAATATTCAAATTCACTTCAGCATAAAAATATGAAAGGGAGATATTAACACTTGTCACCTACTTACCACCTACGAGTGATTTTATAGATTAGTGAGTATAGCACTTTAAAATCCCTTGGGATGAAAGTATCAACACATACAGCACCATGAACACATATATAGACAAATACATTTTGTAACACTCCAAGGATTACTATATAAATTTAGATCAGGGCACAGCATGCCTGGAATGAGTAGGATAGGGACAATATGTTCTTGCTTATGACACTAAGCTTATGACAAATGATTCATACCCAGCACCTTTCATGCCAGAAGATCCCCCCAGGTGTTCCACCAACTCTAGCAACCGTTTCCATCAAGGGAGAAGACTACAGTGTGGAGGAAGTACATCACACCCACGGATGAGGCACAACAGTCATGTCTCTACACAACTGCACAAATCTAGCAGCTGACAGGGCAGGAAAAAGAAGGGAAGGAGATAAGAGACCCATCCAGAGTTTCTCAACAGTTTGACGGGCAGCCCATAATTATCATGCATTTGTACCTTGAACTCAGGTGTTATTGTAATCAAAGGCTCCGTTTAGCCCAAGATTTTATCGACTGTGACATAGCCTTAGAGGCTGTGTATCCTTGAGAACTGGAAAGAAGACTCACGGGACAGTGGGGATATCTAAGTGTGAAAACATGGGAATTCCCTAATATTGCCCTCAGGTTTAAATAAGCAGATTTCTCACTCTGGAGAAATATGATAAAATTGAGAATAGGTCCAAAAGACTTCAAGTCATAGTACCTATTTATGAGTAACTTGACCTAAGTCTTGGAAAGTAATCGAGAAGTATCCCCCACCTTAGGCTGATTCCACACCCACAGCATGAACAACATGCTGTGGTAAAACACTTGGGAACTGATCTGGAATTCAGGTCTCCCTCTACTTTCATTGCCCAATGTTGTCCAAAAGTATCTTTCTGAATCCTTCCTCTTTACAAAATATTTTAATCTTTCTATCTCTGAGGAGTCTAGTCCAGATAAGCAGGACTGTCTTTATTTAATGAACCTGGGTAAACACTGTTTCTCTTTCTTCATCATCTACACAAATACATGATATGACAGAAAAATTCCTTGTGAGATACTCAGAGCAGGACCTGGGAGGGGAGTGAAGGTAACTGTGGAATATGAGACTTCAGAGGGTCAAAATCTCACCCTGTGATTAATATAATTTGAGTGTTCAAACCTTTAACACTCATCCTCTTCATTATTTCCTACATTTTCTTAGATTACTGTCTAAATCCTAACCCTAGTAAGCCCAACTCAACTCATATGCATCTAAAAAAAAATGAAAAGCTGGCAATGCTTGGCGCCATTTCTTAAATGGAGGTTATAATTTGCCAAAGATGTACTTTCCAAGATCTTTTAAGAGATGAACTAAAGTAGAGGTCTAATGGGTAAGTGATATTTTACAGCTTGAATTACACTAAAAGCCAGAAATATTTTGAGTCCAAAGTTTTATCTTTCTTTTTTCTTCTTAATACAACAAGAGCTCATGCATTTGTTGTATACAAAAATCTCCTCGTAAAGCCAGAGCTTTTGAATTAATCACTTAAGGGAGCCTGAGTTAATCAGCTAGCACAGGAAGATTCTAGTTAAAATTAAAGGATCAATTTTAGTAGCTATGATACAAAAAGACGAGGTAGTTAAAGCAATGCACCAGGATAAGAGTGTCCAGAACTCAAGTAGAAAGAATTTTAGCTTTAGGTTTTTGGTTGGTTTTTTTTTTTGTTGTTGTTTTTTTTTTTTTTTTTTTTTTTTTTTTTTTTTTTTTTTTTTTTAATTAAAACCACTCCTGAGAACCACCTCGAACAGCAGCCTCCGTCACTCTGTCACGAAAGCTGCATTGGAAAGAACCCCAGCTGCCGTCCTCAGTACAGGATAGGCTAGATCGCCAAATGCATGACACCATATATTTCAAAACCTTCTCAGCTCTCATTAAAAACCCAACGATGAACACAGCTCAGTGAAGTGGCACTTGTTGGCACGGTTCCTGGCATGCGCACCACAAACAGGAAACATTTTCAAAGGTACCAGGTTGCATAGACTGTGCACATTGTAGACACGATCTCTATCATCCAATGGAAGCTGCAACTGAGACCCTCCCCCTTGCAGAAATCTTTAACTTTTCGTGTGGGCTTCACAGCAGCCTAGAGAACTTTACACACTTTTAAATCGTCTTCAATTATCACCGTCAAAGCTGGTTCTTTACTGTTTCAGAGTATTGAAGTTTCTACATTTGGGTTAAACTGTACAGTTTCCTCAGATTTCAAACATCCATGGTTTTCTGAAAGTCTGAAGCTCCTGATAGAATCAGTGACTTTCACCCTAAATCTCTCAGGGACTGAAATCTCTTCCCTGGCTTCATAGGGGAAATTCAAATCTTTATTTGAGCTCCTTTCTAGAGGAGGTCAGTCGTGGGAAAACAGGGAGTTGTTGTCACTGAGATCTATCTATCTGATCGTCCCCAGGCTGACCATGCCGGAGAACAACTGCCCTTTCATGGGCTAGAAAAGCCCTGGCTCTCAAAACGCACTTGCTAATGCTGTCGGAAGATGCTGGGGAGGCTCTGCACTGAAACTTGCATCCATTTGGTCCACAAAAAGATAATAATACTAAAGGGCACCTTATATCGCACTGCAGATCGCCTCTCTTGGGCGGAACAAGAGGCTATGCGTTCTGTATAAAAATAAAATAAAAAGCCCACATGCGACTTCTGCGTGCACTCCCTAAGTCTATCCAGGTAAGGAAAAGTCCCTTAAGGAAATTTCAGTGGGCTTGGATATTAACCCTTTGAGATCTGCATTAAAACTACTTTAGCACTCCCCCACCCCCGTTCTTGGTCTTCAGTTCCACCTTCCAGTGCCACTGAAGAAGAAGGAAAAAAAAAAAAAGATCTGCCAGTTCAGTTACAGTATGAACCTTGTGATTTGGAGAAGACTCTGACGGTGGGGGCGGGAGGACTCCCTAGTAGGCACCATTAACTCCTGAGGGAGGCCCGCTGGGAAGACTTCACAGCGCAGCATCTCCCAAGTCCAGAAACCTCTTTCCCCCAAATTCTCCATCAGATCTCCTAGTGGACAGTAACCCTTTCATTCTCTCACCCCTTTCCCCACAGTTCCATTCTACTCACGCTGCTGTTGTGGCCAGACCAGTGGACCATAGCTTGGTTGTGTGCTGAGTCTCCAGTCAGCGCAAACGTGGTGCTGGTCAGTCTCAGCTCCTCCATCCGGAAGCGGGTGGCTTTGTCCGGGTCCCGCGCGCCAGTCCCAGGCCCCTGCTGCCCTCCATCCCTTAGCATGCCCCGGCGACTCCGACTCGCACCCTCTCCGGGTTCAGTCTTCTCAGGATCCGCTCCACTTCGTCTCCTTCGGCCAGAGCGTGCAGCGGTCGCCACGGACACCCTGCTGCCCCCAGCTCGCTCCAGAGACAGCGCCCGGTCCCCGGGGGCCACTACGAACAGGGGTCTCATGACAAGGGGCGGGGGCGTGGCAGGAGCCCGACCTAGCGGTCCCGGGTGAGGAAGACCTCTTGGCGTCAGGGTCCAGCGTGGGGTCGAGCCGGGGTGCTGCGAGGGGCAGCAGGAGCGGCTGCTGCAGACTCCGGGGGCTAAGAGCACCAGAAGCCCCGCGCCGGCCAGGAGCGCGCTCAGCCGGACCGGGGAGCCGCCGGCGGCTGCAACTTTTCCCATCGCGGGAGCAGAAAGAAGCGGAGAGGGGATCCCGAACCGAAGGCAGGCGGCGGCGCGGGGCTCCCGACTGACGGCGGAAGGGTGTGCGCTCAGGACCCCAACTCCATCCAAGTTGGGCCGCGGCGGGGCGCGCTAAGGCGGCGCCGGGCAGGTGGCTGCCGCTCGCCCGGGCTGGGCTTGTGTGGAGCGCGCGGGCTGGGGACCGAGCTGCGAGCCTCCGCCGCGCGGGGGTGGAGCCGAACTGAAGTCACGGGCGGAGCGGGCGCCGCGCGCTGGCTGGCGACGCGGGAGGGAGGGCGGGCGCTGCCGGGGCTCCGGGCGCTGCGTCCCGTCGCCGAGCTGCTCTGCGCACAGAGCTGCGGGAACCCGCTAGGCAGACAACGACCCTCCCCTCGGTGCGCGGAGTCCCAGCAAGCAGCCCGCGCACCGGTCCCCTGGGGGCGGCCAGCCCCAGACTCCCGGAGCAGGCGCTGTAACGGGTTTCCTATTCCCGTTTTCTTTTTCTCTTTTCCGTGGCTGTTTCCCCTCTTTCTCTCTCTCGCTCTCTCCTTTTTCTGGTCTTCTCCAGTTTAGGGGATATGGATGTGTGAGCTCTTGCTCTTTTCCCCTCTTAAACTAGGTGAGTTGGCATCTAGTCCTTACTCTGAGCAGAGCTTGTGTGTTCTGGCTTGCAGGAGATCCCAGAAGGCAGCGGAGAGCGATGTAATTAACTGACTGTGTGTGTGTGTGTGTGTGTGTGTGTGTGTGTGTGTGTGTGTGTGTGTGTGTGTGTGCTCCTCAGTCTAAGCATGTGTCTATAGTTGGGAAGACTTTTCCCCCTCTGTGATCCCTCCTAAGGTTCCTTTCCTGGCCTCCTTTAGCATTCCCAGTCATTGAAAATAGTTGCACTTAACAACACATTTTTAAAGTTAAGGTTCCCCAAGTATTTTGTAGCTATAGAGGAAGACTAAAGTTGGAAGAAGGGACCTGTTTGCTATTTTATTCTCGGTGCCTGGCAACAGTGCACTGAATGGTAGGAACTGTAGATGATTGACTTAGCGAGTGTGAGTTCGTTATAGATCTGTATGTCCAACAAATATGGGAAGGGATTTGTATGTACCTGGTGTCACCGGTGTCTAGCCCAGGGTTGCTAACACACACATTCGAATCCCCCTGAGCAAGTCAGTGCTTAATGGTGTTTCTTGTGGGATGTCAGGCAATTGAGCTTCCTACATGTTAAATTAAGTGGTTCATTAGTTGACCTTTAAAATCCTTTCTGATCCTAAAAATCTGTAATTCTGTGATGATAATATCAAACTCCCCCAAATCCCCTGATACTGTTCAGAAGTTCAAATAAGTAGGTGAGAGGGCTTTGAAAATTACAAAGACTCAAAAACCAAGCCCTTTTCAAACCGATAGTTATTTCCAAGGTTTGAAATTCCTTCGAATCTCTTTAGAGTTTTCATGTACCAGATGATATCCTCTTAAGCACATGAGAGTTATGAGATTATTGAATGAATATTTATGGATTGGATAAACATGCTATAAAACAGTGCTAATTTCAGTTTCAATTTGATTTTTGTTGTTTCACACTTAGAATCATCATATTACTCTATAGAATTCTAAGTTTGTAATGAACCCCACTTGAAAGTGATACACAATGATACTTAATCTTCAGGTAATGAAACTTTTCTAATAATGCTCCAGAGGACAACTTTTATGATAAAAATGCATTCCAGAGAGATGTCACATAGTGATGGCTCCTATAGTGATGGCTCCTACAGCTCGAGCCTGTAATCCCAACACCTGGGACACTGAGCCGGGATGATCCCTGCTGATTCAAGCCTAGGATAGGACCCAGCAGAGCTACAGATGTATCTAGGCTACCGAGTGGGACCTTGAGTCAAAAATAAATAAATTAAATAAAATAAAATAACGGGACTAAATTGTTCTTAAGACCAAAGCAGCAAGGGAGTAAATTCATAGGGACCACTTATATCAGAAATCAAAAGTGAGTACCTACACATGTCCTCTTGCTATTAAAAAACAAGGACTCTTTGAAAAATACCATCATTATACAAATACAGACCCAGCTGAAAGAGAAACACATTCTGGCAAGTTGTAGCCTCTACAGAGAGGAGAGAGTCAGGAATCCTCTCTCCTCCCTAGGCTTCCAGTCCATTCTTCCAAAGCCCTAGATGGCCTTGTTCCTCCCCTTAGAAAGAATTTTAGAGCAAAACAGGGCTGCTCTTTGCTTAATGCTTTGTTTCTATACTCTTTTAACCTCCTTTGCAGTCTGGATAAATGAGTAGGAGTTCCTCCAGGAAAGGAAAAACACAGAGTAAAGAATCAGAACCCAATAAATTCCCATCCAAAAAAAAAGAGGACTGGAAAAAAAAAAGCAAAATTGGGAAACAAAAATTAGCTAGAGTTTCCTGGCTTTAGATATTGCTTCACTAAAATTTTAGTTTTAAAATAGATCTCTTCCTAAAAGAATTAAAAATGGTACAAATGGAGTGGAGTTTTCTTCCTAGAACATACACATTCCATCTTTTCCACAAACATGTGTTAAGATGATCCCCTAACTGTCATCACAGAGCCTTCATCCAGTAACTGATGGAAGCAGATGCAGAGATCCACAGCCAAGCACCAGGCCAAGCTCCAGGAGTCCAGTCAAAGAGAGAGAAGAGGGATTCTATGAGCAAGGGGCATCAATATCATGATGGGGAAACCTAGAGACAATCAAACCAAACTAGTGGGAACTCATGAACTGTGGACCAATAGCTGTGGAGTCTCCATGGGACTGGAGTAGGCCCTCTGCATAATTGAGACAGTTGTGTAGCTTGATCTGCTTAAAAGCCCCCCTGGCAGTAGGATCAGGATCCATCCTTGGTACATGAGCTGGCTTTTTGGAGCCCACTACCTATAGGGAGAAATCTTGCACAGCCTTGATGCAGGGGGGAGGGGCTTCGACCTGCCTCAGCTGAATGTACCAGGTTCTGCTGATTCCCCATTGGAGGCCTTACCTTGTCTGAAGAGGAGATGGGGGAGAAATGGAAAGGAAGGCTGGGGGACGGGAGCTGGGAAGAGAAGAGGTTCTGTGGTTGGTATGTAAAATGAATTAAAAATTCCTTAATAAGAAAAAAAAGATGATCCCAGGAAAGCCAGGTGTGGGATTTATGTCTGTAATTCTATCAATGAGGAAGATGAGGACTGCCCCAAGTTTAAAGACAGCCTGTGCTATATAATAGTGTTGCTAATGTTTTCCTGCCTGGCCCACAGTCAGGACAAACTCTCTCACCTGCCAGTCCCACAGCCACTCAGACCCGACCAAGTAAACACAGAGACTTGTATTGGTTACAAACTGTATGGCCGTGGCAGGCTTCTTGCTAACTGTTCTTACAGCTTAAATTAATCCATTTCTATTAATCTATACCTTGCCACATGGCTTGTGGCTTACCGGTACTTTACATGTTCCTTGTCCTGATGGCGGCTGGCAGTGTCTCCCTCACCCAGCTTCCTGTTCTCTCAATTCTCCTCTCTGTTAGTCCCGCCTATACTTCCTGCCTGGCCACTGACCAATCAGTGATTTATTCATTGACCAATCAGCAACACATTTGACATACAGACCATCCCACAGCATAATAGGTTCTAGGGCAGTCTGGGATACAGAATAAAATCTTATCTCAGAAAAAATAAATAATAAAATATCTCAACAGTAATAAAAACAAAAGAAAAAATCTCAAGAATAATCACTCTAAAGTGACTATAGTTCACTCGCTGAAACTTCATTGTGGACAGGTAAAAATTTTAAGCCCCAATTTTCATTATCCTTCCGTGAAGATAAAATGACACAAATGTGGATAAAATTGGCCCCAGGTAATACCGTCTGTCTGTATGTATATATGTGTATGTTCATTTTATTTCCCAAATGACTTTTCTCAACAAGTAGTAGGAGAAAGCAGCAGAATCCCCTAAACAATGCATTCCTCATTATTAAAAGTCCACAGCAACAGGTGAATCTCAGGGAACTCTGTTTCATATTATGTTCAGTTCATCAATGTGATATAAGTTATTACATTTTTGCATTTATTTTAGCATTTTTTTGTGTGTATATGTGTGAGGGTATACCTGCCATGGTGTGAGTGTGGACCAATGTGGGTAGTGGATTCTTTCCTTCCACCATGTTAAATTTGGGAGATGAAATTCATGTCCTCAAGTTACCGACCCAGCTATTGCCTATATGCTGATCCATCTCATGGGCCCTAATAGGTGTTATTATTATTGTACTGTTAAAATGTTATTAGAAAACTAATGTCACAGCCTGAAGAGATTATACATTGATGATTCTTATGAGGGGATTTTTTAATTTGCACATGAAAAATATGCCACTGCTGTCTAGGTCACCATCAAATGTTTCATTAGGAATAGCACTATGGCCTCTGTCCTGTGTCAGTCTCTTAATAGTGACTTCTCAGTGTTATTTAATCCTGTGGTTGTTTTCTTTGTTAGTAACACCCCTCAAAAAGTTATGTGAGGATAAAGTCTTATTAATCTGCTCTTTCCTCAGTGTCTCCCTCAGTGCCTGGCTCATTAAGAGCTCAATAAAGAACAACTGCCTAGCTCTGTAGAAATGCTACCCACATCTCAGCTGGCAGGGAACACTGTAAATCAGATGTATCCTCTCTGTGAGAACCTGTGCTCCAACCTTTAAACGTACCAGCTTACATGGTTCCTCTGTGAACTTTCTCTCAGCTAATATTACCATTTTCTCCACTTTGCAGGTGATGTTAAACAACTGCCACCCAGTGTCACACTGCCATTTAGTGCCCAAGGCAAGGTTTCTGCATACCATTCCTCTTGGAGTACTCTCTACTCTAAATTCAGCTGGCAGACCACACTTGGTGGGGACTTTCTATGGATTAGGCTCTCAGTTCAAGCTTAGTCTCTTTCAGTAACATTGACAAGCAATGCTGTAAAAAGTGAGTAAGGGGCTATTTTGTGGAGGGAGAGGAGGCAAGTGTATCAGTGGTCTATATCTGCTTGCCTTTATTTGCTATGCATGAGGAGGTGATACTAAGCAGGGTGGAATATTCATCACTGCCACAACCTTACTGCAAGAGCCACCGTTAACTAACTCTTCTTTGTTTTGGTTTTTCAAGGCAAGGTCTCAACCTTGTGGTCTCCCTTCTTCAACCTACCATGTATGGGATTATAAGCAGTGCCACTACTCCCAGCTTCCAGGTCAATTCTTACA